ATGTTCCTATAACTCGCATATTTACAGGTTGCGCATAAATGCACTACTGAAGTTTTTTCCCACCCGCAGTTGAAGCTATGGCGGGTCAAGATGCATGCATTTAGGAACCATTCCAGTATCCCCTACAAAAGTCAATCGTTGTTTCATATACATAGTCAAATCATAACTACTGGCGCTCTCTCCTAGATCAGTTGCTAGGTCCGAAGTGCAATGGCCAGAGCATCCATCTCGATGACAAGTACCAATTGCAATTAATTCGAACCCCCCATACACAATGAGTTAGAATTGGAAACATTGTTTTAAACATATTTTATTCATGAGAAAAGGATTGGTACAAGTTATACAACTTAGTACACCCTCTCCAGAGTATTTACATAATATTATTTACATTCATTCTATAAGGTGGATAGAGAAGAACAGAAAGATGGGAAAGAGTGGAACAATTGCAATAATTAAGAAATCGTTTTGATTGACAAATATATGTTTGAACAATTTTAAATATGTTTTGATTTATGTAAACAGTCAGTAATGAAAACATTACCACAACATGCATGTTACTTCAAACCAATTAGGAAGAATCGACAAGTGGTTTTGTTCAAAACACCCAATTCGGATATCACAGATTATCAACAACGGAATGGACAGTTTGAAGGTGAGGTGAAATTGGGTTTTACGTCGTACTTGAGAATATTTCGCTCATATGACGACGTGCATGCGTGTGTATGTGTATGTGCGGCTGCTTGTACTAGCCCAGACTTAAGCTGGTTTTATAGTGCTAGCCCACTGAGATACCATGCCGCAGTGAAGCATGAATACCCCACTCAGACACAGTATACTGACTCCGAGCCGACCAGTCCTTGTTGTACCCATTAATGCTGAGCGACAGGCAGGGACCAACAAGTACCATATTTTAACGTCTTTTTGGTATGACGCGGTCGGGGATCGAACCCACGACCTTCCGCTCTCCGGGCGGACGCTCTAACCACTACACCACGGAGGCGGTCAGGACAGTTTGAAGGAGTTAAACCCGATAGGCAAAACCTTCTTGAATAAGACATAATGAATATACCCCCAATACCATTTATGTTTGAAGTTTGAAGAATAAAATTATTTCTTTAAAACTTTCTAGACTAGATCGATTAAAATATCTCTATATACAAGTAAATTATATGTTTATCAACTACACTTTCATGTATACCAGTAATAATTACTGAACGAGGTAAAGTTTTTTAATAAAAGGTAATATGAAGTTTATTTTGTAAGAAACATTGCGATATCTTAGCTTTTTGTGAATAAAGTCAAGTTTTGCAAAATTGTGAAAACATAGATTTCGATTGCCGCCCGATATTCAAACCTAAAACTGGATTTTACATATTGCGTTAATTGTTTACATATTAGGTTAAAAATTGTTTTTACATTTTGCGTTAGGTGTTTTACTTTTTGCGTTAAAGACATTTTTTACATTTTGCGTTAATATTTTACATATTGCGTTATGTTTTACGTTTTGCGTTAAGCTATTACATATTGCGTTAGTTTTTACATATTGAATATGCGTCTGTGAAGGCGTTCAGATAATGACGATATTGCACAGTTTTATTCATGAGATTCCTGTCAACAGTAAGGTCGAATAATAGATTGATTTTATTCAGCAGTGTTGGCCCTGAGGCCTATAGTACAATTACAGTTTGATCTACTTGCACGTGGTGCTAGTAACATATTAAGTTTCTATTGGCATTGAATGCATATTTCCGACAAAAGCTAATGGTATTATTGTCACAACATCTATATTGTTTGATGTTAAAAGATTTGGCAATGTGTTCATACATTACAACTTTGACAGACTTCGCAAATAATTAATAAATGATATTGATAGCATCTTAATGACTTGGCCATACAGTCATGACAATTTACTGTGAGCGATAGGTCTTGTGGGAATTCAAAGATTCATTACGATTGTAGCCGTCTAAGCGTAACTCCTGTGTGTAATATTTGTAAATATTCTATCCACTGAAAACATGCTTCTACTATTAATATTACATGTATTTTCATGGATTCATCATATTTTATCTATAGCTGTGCTATAGTTTCTCATCAAAATGTGTTTCCTGTTGTCGGAATTGAAGTAAGTCCCACACAGAGCTGGGATCATATGCCTTTGCAATATATATGCAAACGTCTGGAACCTTGTGTTCCAATACAAGCGTTCGTAGCGCTACGACATTCGCATGCCTATTATAAACTATAGAGTTGGTCTCAACCATTGACTGGATTACATTCTCATCGTCAGCAGAGAAATATCGACTTCTCTTTTTCCTTGGGGTGCAGGCGACATTTCGCGATTCCATTTTTGGTAATCCGGAAGTAAACAGAAAACGGAATTGTGGGATATATGGAAGCTAACCAGTGACGTTAACCACACTGTTAAACTTTGACGGCGACGTTAGCTAACGGCATGACTAAGCATGTTTTGAACAACGCATATTTAACGTTCGGTTACCTAACGGCCGGTTAAGGATTTAACCGGCCGTTAGGAGTTAACCGGCGGTTAAGATAACCGAGTATTGAACAACCGGGCCCTGGGCGCCCGTTGTACAAAACAACCTTAACGCTACGACAGTCGTCACTCTGTTAAGGTATGGGAGTTACGATCACCTTGGCCCCAAGATCGCTTTGTACAACGGCATCCTGGGCAAACCCTGGGCAAAAAACACCTTAAAGACCAACTGGTCTCGGAAACACTTCTTTGAGTTTTATCTGGTCTCAGAAAATCAGTCACTTTGAATCGACAGAGAAACGTTTTCAAAATCTGACGCATATGTGACAAATATGATGTCCGATGCAATACCCTATTCTGACTTGAAGCCTTTGCATAAATTTGTGATGGTGCCAACAGTGGGGCAGGTAACGCTCACCATTTTTGCAAACACCTGGAATCATTACTTTTTCATTGTAATTCATAAACACGTGCTCATTTGAATAGTGCAATCAGTTTGACTTTTAGCAATTCTTATGAAAGGGAAAAGCTTTTTGTCGCTTTTATCTATTTAGTTGTAGAAATCGTTTAAGTTTATTGGAGTATATTCAGCGCAAGATCTCATTTGACAGAACATTCACGGTCGTGGTGTTTAAGTCACAAACGGTAGATAAGAAGGTGTCCTCCCATTACGCAGACAGGCAGTTCGCAGACACCTTAAAACAACAACATTTACGGTTCAGTGAACAGGTTATCTACTACCTGTTACCTACACATTATAATGGAATATTCCAAATAAAAACACAGGAACAAACTGAAGCTATATTATTTATTTTGAAAGATGGACGAAAAGACAGTAATTTGAATTTTTATTTCTGCAATATAATAACAGTTTATTTTCATAAACATTTTGGTTTAACCTTCTAGTCTAACGGGAGTCGGCATCATCATATTGAAAACATTAGCTTAGCTATTAGAAATTCTGACACTGTTGTTTCATATAAATCAAATAAAGACAAATGTGAACCTAAATATTATTCATATGGAATAAAGAAGTTATATGTTTTGCACACAATATTAAGATATATGACGAATGCACTTAATTACGATATATTTAGAATAAATATTTAAAATAGGACGCATCACGTGAATGTGGCCATGGATGTGAGAATGTTTTTCATTACTTCCTTGAATGTCCATTGTATACTACTCAAAGACATAAACTGTTACAATCTTTAGAAAGTATTGTTAAAATTAGAACACTGATTGGTATTAATCGTATCTTACATGGCAATGCAGGTGTCTCATTTACTGCAAATCAGAATGTTTTCAAATATGTACATATCTATATCTCTCCAACAAAACGTTTTCTCAGTTAACTTCTGTTGTACATATGCTATTATTGGGAGGGGTCTTTTCTATCAATAAACACAATCAAACTTCTCAGTGACAAACCTGTTTTTATGTTCGATAGTAATTGATAGTAAAATCAATTTTCAGAAGAGAAATCATTTATCATTTAATCACAACAAAGTTCTATTTACCCACAATCAGACTTCTCAGTAACGAACCTGTTTCAGGCTCACCCTGCTCTACTCACTAGACAGTGGACTGTTCCATTATACCCATAGGTGTTACCCTAATTAACCTTCTAGTTCAGTGTCTGTAAACTGGGTGTCTGTCAATTGGGAGATAACCGATAAGAAGATTCATTTCAAGGAGATCATAGTTCTGTTTATCTGTGGATGTTTATTCGCGTTTATTCGATAAAATCCATTCAATTATTTTATGCATAATTGAAATTTGGCTCGCTTTAGAACGATGCTACAGCATTTCCAACTGAACTGTGTGCAAACTGACAAACATGTTGGGGGGTTGGGGATAACAGGCTGTTATTGCTGTTGTATCGACCGCACTGGTACATGTAAATTCGATTTAGAAATTAACTGCCAGCTTCACCCGGAACATTGCAGATCATTCTATTGAACCGCGACATGGTTCTTCACGTCAGGATTCGGGTTAAGTACGTCTAATAATCAGCGAGTGAGTATGGTTTTACGCCGCTTTTAGCAATATTCCAGCAATTTCACGGCGTTGGACACCAGAAATGGGCTTCACGCATTGTACCCTTGGGAACAGAACCTGGGCCTTCATCGTGACTGGCAGACGCTTTTAGCACTAGGCTACCCCACCGACCCCTAATTATCAAGTACATAAATAGATAACTACCGGCACGACCGTATCATTGTTACTGCACCGGTGTTGTGAAAGAGATAAATGACTTTACCTCTCAAGAAATCAGTACTTTGACTTCTGTATCAACAGAAACACTTTGTTATCGCAAATGCATGTCCTCAGATCTTGTTTTCTATTTATGTATATTTGGTCATTCAGTGTATGGAGACTTTTAGAGATCAGTGTCCATAACAGTTTCCACGGCAATCAATCACAAGGAAGATCTGCCTACGCGTTATTTATACCAGCTCGAAAACTGGAAATGGCTGAAATTAAAGCAAGACTAAAATACCTGTGGAGGAAGTTCCATGATGCCTCTTCACAAATCCCATACCTCAAGTGGTACCTTTGTTCAAATGGCAGACGTAACTGCGTGACTTCCGAGTCCATTCCCAAACTCGGAGTGACTGACAGCTACGCAAACCTATCATTGTGAAATGCTCATTTGGGGCTAAACAGCGAGCAAGTATGACCCCGATAGTGGATATTTCAGATTAGAAATGGTTGAACTGTATATTGCAGCTTATTGATTACCTGCCCTTACCTGAGAGATGCTGGCACGCAATGGTGTGCGTGTTAATGTCGCTATGGTGACGGACATGTTATAATCGTTAAGTGTGCAATTGACAAGCCTGAGGTGCATGATAAACATGAACAATACATACTATCAAAGATATATGGATCAGAGTGTCTGATATAGAGGAGTCGGGAAGTTATATCACAAATTTAAAAAATGCATGGTACACACATGCTGCACAGAAATATAGTCCAGTATTCGACGTTCATGAGTATCTTTAACCGGGGTCTTCGATTGCCGTCCTGGGTGTCCTCCCATTTGTGAGAAGATTCAGTTAAATATTTAATCCCTACTTAGCTGGAGTTAATCCATTCTATCAGATAGGGGAGTAAGGTGTGATTTCTTTGCTACTTACCTACTCCACTGTCTCACAACTGGGAGTCTCACAACTGGGAGTTCTCACAAATGGGAGTAGACCCCGTCCTGCATTTGAAATGGAGCAGTATATTCGTACTGCATGCGAAATTTGTGCGGCTTGGTCGTCGCGGAAATTACATGAGTGAGTTTAGTTTGAGCAATATTCAGCAATATCACGGCGGGGGACACTAGAAATGGGCTTCACACATTGTGCCCATGTGGGAATCGAACAATTATACATCATGATCTGAATATGTCCAAACTACTATTTTGATGAAAATCGGCCAATCCAAACCAGAGTTATTAAATTAAACTGTCCAGTCCAAAATATTACCATAACTGAGATGATATATTGCACCTTAACAAGGCCCCTGCACGATAGTCGTATGGTAGCTGATGACAACGGGCTTTAAATCAAAGCTAAATCATTCCTGGTTGTGAAAAAATTACATCCCATTCGGTCGCTAGAACTGCACCACATTTTCACCATTTTGGGGGTCTGGCTTCTAGACCATACCCTAGCGACCCGAGATTACATTAGTATTGCACGTGGTTACAATAATACATGAGCTTCACCTTTCCATCTCAGACAGCGTTGAAGTAATCTGCATATCGTCAGAGGATTTACATTGGATCAATTGTCATAGCTGTACTTTAAGAAAAAACACACCTAGGTGTTCTAACCCAGGTTTGACTACTACATACGTATATAAGTAATATATATTTAGATTTTGCTTACGTGAAAATCACGAATTCCTCTGTCGGTGCTGAAGATCAGTGGAACATATTTCAAAGTGCACAATCCAGATTTCAGTTTTATTTTATGTCGCATAGATTAAGGTGGTTTATTGTCATTGTATTTAACGTTTTTAATGTGATATCGCATGTCTTTATTGGCTCTTATAACCTCTCAGAACAAAACTAACCTGATCAGTGTTGTTATATTCGATGTACTTGACACACAATGTACTTTGAAAGGAAACAACTAAAGTATTTAACCGTTAAAATATGGACAGGATTCTCCTTTCCGGAATCAAACTTAACTTATTTCGAACTATAATTTGGTTTAAAGAGAGTATCGAAGAATGAGAAGATATATATCTTAACAAGGATAGAGACAGAAAAGGTAAAACCAAACTGACATATATACTTTCCCCCAAAAGAAACGCATAGGTGTATTTTCCCGAAGTTAACTCTAAAGTGAGAATAACAAATGCAATTCTAGATCATGTGAGTAATCTAGACGCGTGACGAGCGAAGGCCTTAACCACTGGGCTACCCTGCTGCCCCTTAACCAAATACAAACACTTTGGAACAATTGTTATTATTTAACGTATTGAACAGTATCATGAGCTCTCTTTGAGACCTCACGCGTTTCTGCTACAGTAAATGAGTGATAACAAAATGAAAATATCGTAATCACAACCAAAAAGAAACAATATCCCCTAAACACTTCATGTGTCTTTGTAACATTCTTACACTAGGCGCACCCAGTTATTGTGGCATTCCCATCCTTACGAGGTACCCATTTACAGCTGGGTGGACTGGGACACATAGTCACAGTACTTTGTCCAAGTTTACTGCACGTTGCTGTACCCGCAACTGGGTGTTTGCAGGCTATATATCTCATGTGAGCATGTGATACATTACGTAACTTATAACATATAATGTTAACAGTAGTCATTTCGAATGATTTTATATCAACATTTCAATACGTCATTATGTCATAAGACCTTTACATTTGTTGTATGTGTACATTTTTCTGTACATTTCTTGTGAAGCATTGTTTTTCTGTACATTTCTTGTTACAAAATGAAAAGGGGACGGACGGCTAATGTACGGAGATATATTAATGATGAACAAAATCCGTTTAGTTACACAATGAGTGAGTGTAGTTTTACGCCAATATTCAAGCAATATCACGGCGGGGGACACCAGAAATGGGCTTCACACATTGTACCCATGTGGGGAATCAAACCCGGGTCTTCCGCGTAACGAGCAAACGCTTTTACCACTAGGCTACCCCACCGCCCAGTTACACAATGAATATTCGAGGTATTATCGTCTTATCCTTTGAACCGTGTATGTTTTTTTACATAGGCTACATGACATAGTCCATGCAATCCGAGTGTTACCACCACTTAATAATTATTAGGATAAAGTCATTCACCGAGAATCAAGTGAATGAAAATACACAAGTATAGTTATCATACAAATAGAAGCGACAAAACCCTTTCCACATCCATAAGAAATCTCTGCTAAAAGTCAGTTTACAATTGTGACTATATCATGAGTATATGTTTGTTTCGGCAGTATTACAGCTGTATGCTGTTGTTTATGAACAAATCGAGTCTGGACCAGACAATCCAGTGATTGTCGCCATGCGATACGATGGCAGAGCAAATGTTTATAAATCACAGGGATGACAAGAACGGTTTGTGTGTTTGTTGTTTAAAGGGACACTGATCCAGAGCAATTTCCGTGGACTGGTTGTTGTTTTTGCTATTGTTTGTCTCCCGTGAGTACCCGGATGATGTCCAAGATTTCTTGACTGGTTCGTGACCTCTGCTGCGCCACCCGCATGCGCAATTGACAGTATAAGTATAGACTGATCAACAAAATCACAGAAAGCTTGGTGTTTATGAAAGTCCGTTTGTTGTTGGCGAGAATGGTGATGTACGGACCATCTATTTTCGATGATTGGAGTTGGCTTTGATGTAGTCACAGAGATAGCTGATTCGGTGTCGGAATTTCGCAACGAGGTGCGATGTTCTTTGACTCGGGTGTTTCACGGGATGTATATAGCATTGTCCACAATCAACAGTTCATTTTGTAAAATAACGACATTTCAAGGTTTATTGTTTGTTGACGGTGGCTTGTTTTCTTCCGTTGGCATGGAGGAGGCTGAGGCCGGAGGACCTTCAAGAAGGTAGTGTCTATTCCTGCCTGTTATTTGTTTGCAGAGTCCGGCTGATTTGGTGTGATGGTTTACAGTCAAGGGAATGGATATGTCTTGATGGGGGCTGATTCTGGTTTGTGAGATTTTTTAGCTGGGGAGGTGAAGGCGTTGCTTCGATGAGTTTCTGTTGACTATTTCAAGGTGGGTAGTGGTTGCGTTCAAAGACTTTCCTCCAGGTGTTCAATCTTTCCGGTTTGTTGAGCAGATGTTTTTGGCTTTCTGGTCAATGTAGAGATGACGCCGGTCTTGACTTTAGGTGGGTGGCTTTCGAGCTTGTAGTGGAACAGCAGAACAACCAACTACCTTCCTTGATGTCCTTGGTGTCCCGCACCTCCTGCAACCAACTCCAAGACCTCCGTGTACAGAAAACCAACTCATACGGATCAATACATCCACTGCAAACTCCAACCACCCACCTAAAGTCAAGACTGGCGTCATCTCACTACATTGACCAGAAGAGCCCAAAACATCTGCTCAACAAACCTACAGGAAGAAATTGAACACCTGAGGAAAGTCTTTGTGGAACGCAACCACTACCCACCTGAAATAGCTCAGTCAACAGAACCATCGAAGCAACGCTTTCACCTCCTGCCAAAGGTCTAAACCAGAATCAGCCCCCATCAAGATATCCATTCCCTACATTGGTAAACCATCACACCAAATCAGCTCGACTCCTGGAAACAAACAGGCAGGAATAGACACTACCTTTCCTCAGCGTCCTCCAGGCCTCAACAACCTCCCTCCATGCCAACGGAAGAAAACAACCCACCGTCAACAACAACAACCTGAAATGTGTTATTTACAAAATAGACTTATGATTGTGGACAATGCTACATAGGTGAAACATCCTGACCCATCAACACCTGAGTCAAAGAACATCGCACCTCTGTTGCTAATTCCGACACCAAATCAGGCTATCTCTCTGACCTCACATCAAAGCCAACCCCAATCATCAAATAGGAGTGGTCCGACATCACCATTCTCGCCAACAACCAAACGTGGACTTCACTAAACGCAAGCTCACAGAAGCCATTCACATCAAAACGCCACAAGCCTACCATCAACCGTGACCAAGGATACTTCATTCCATCTGCTTATGATCCACCTCCACCAAGCCCAGTCTATTGTATAAACATCGCATCCATTGTATAAACATCTCATTGTAACTACATCTCATTAAATCTGTTTTACTCGAAAATATTTCCATCTTATTTTTTATGATAACAAATGAAATTGTTTTGAAGTTTAACCATCTGCCAATGGTAAAACATGTTAAGACTGAAAAATAACCAAGTCAATGTACGTACATGATATATATATTTTGTCTTATAATCCTAATTAGTTTATTATCATATTTTTATGCATTTTGAAACTTAATAAAAAGCATACGATCTGCTTATACTTATTGTGAATTTATAATATGACTGTAATATCTAGACATTTTATAGATTGCCAACGTGAATCATATTTCACACACGTCCTAAGTGCGACCTGGTGCATGTTGTCCGTCTAATTA